GTACTACCATTGCCTGACTTAAATATAGTGGCTGGCTTTTTCCTCTGATCCTCAGATAAGCTTTATTGGGGTACACAGATAAAATATCACAACATACCATTCAAAACATTCAAAAGTTCAAAACTTGCCAAGTCCCTAAGATTGGTCTGGGTTAGAGTACACTGGTCCTAAATGCTCTGAATTCAGGATAACTGTGCTTCTGAAGTACTATCTATAGTGAATTAATGAGATAGGCTTTAAAAAAAAAAAACACATTCACAGAAGGGGCTCTGGTTTTAGAGGCCATGGCAGTAACCATGATGCAGGAATGGAAGTCTTGAACTAGAGATGTGATGCGATGGTCTGTATAAAAAATGCCCCCACATAAAGGCTATGGCACTGGGAAGGGATTTTCTTCAATTGAGCTTCATAAAGGAAGCTCTTAAGAGGGCAGGGCCTTAGTGGGAGGATGTTAGGTGGTTTCAGGCATGCCCTTGAGGATTCCAGGACCTCCCTCAGACCCTTTGCTTCTCTGGAATTACAGGTGTGCACCACCACACCCCAGTTATTTAACTTATATATATATATTTTGAATTGAGCTTCCCGAAGGAGTTAGAATTCATCTTTAACCAAGACTTGATTACGAAATCATATACTACACTTTCCCAATCTTTTTTTTTTTTTTTTTTGGTTTTTCGAGACAGGGTTTCTCTGTGTAGCTTTGCGCCTTTCCTGGTACTCACTCCGTAGCCCAGGCTGGCCTCAAACTCACAGAGATCCACTTGCCTCTGCCTCCCAAATGCTGGGATTAAAGGCATAAGCCACCATCGCCTGGCTCATTTTCCCAATCTTTAAGCTTTGAGTTATTAACTCAAATGTAATTTTAAAAACTAAAAAGAAAGAGAATCATTGTTTCCAGAGCCCAAAGGAGGCCTTGCCTTGCTGGTGAAATGTGTGCTTTTTATTTCCTCCCAGGTTTCAAGTTACATCAAAGAGCAGAGTCAGGAACAGTTTCAGATGATAATCATTTCCCTGAAAGAGGAGTTCTACTCCAGAGCTGATGCACTGATAGGCATCTACCCAGAGGTAAGAGACACAGGGCGAGGACAGGCCCCATAAACTCCTTCGACCCTGCCAACCTTGGGATTCCCTTCCACATCCATAGTGTCCAGGAGCTTGCAGACACTATTGGCTTTCTACAGTGGGTCAATATAAACCAAATTATTATTTTACTTTTGGTTTTTTGAGACATGGTTTCTCTGTGTATTTTGGAGCCTGTCCTAGAACTCGCTTTGTAGATCAGGCTGGCCTTGAACTCACAGAGAACCACCTGCCTCTGCCTCCTGAGTGCTGGGATTAAAGGCGTGCACCACCACTGCCTGGCATGATGTTTTTTTAAAGATTTACTTATTGTTTAGTGTTCTGCCTGCATGTACACCTGCATGCCAGAAGAGGGCACCAGATCTCATTACAGATGGTTTTGAGCCACCATGTAGCTGCTGGGAATTGAACCCAGGTCCTCTGGAAGAGCAGGCAGTGCTCTTAACCTCTGAGCCATCTCTCCAGCCCACCAAATGATTTTTAAAGAGTAAGGTTTAAACCTTACTCGACAGAGATTTAAGACATTTTAAGCGAACGAAGAAAATTAAAACTGTAGTTCATGGCTCAGCAGGTTCGGGCACTTGCTACCAAGCCTGTTGACCTGAGTTTGATCCTCCAGACCCGTGTGATAGAGGGAGAAAACCAACTCATCCCTTCCACACACAAAGAGTAAGTATGTGCAGTAAAAAAATATCTTTAAACAGCAGGGTAGTGTGATAGTTGTGTTTTGAAAAACAGTAGTACATAGTAACATAGAACAGACTGTTAATACTGTGCTTCTCCTTTCTAACTTGTGAATATTTTACGCAAACATGTACTATATCTAAAAACAAGTTCACTCAGCACTCCAAGGGGACAAGAACTTTTACAATTTCAAAAACACCTGTCTTAAAGCCATTCAAACACATACTTAGGTCAAAAACTGAGCTAAGGCCATTGAGATGGCTTAGCTGGTAAAGGCGCCAGCTGCCAAGCTTGACAACATAAGCTCCATCCCCGACTCTGGAGAGAACTGAGCCCTGAAAGTTGTCCTTTAACCTCCTCACCCGTACGCTGCAGGCACACACACACACACATACACACACACTAGAGTCTTTAAATAGATACAGACATGAGCCAAGGGAGTAGAGGGACAATTCAAGACCTTCAGTTTTTAGGCAACTCCCCTTTAAGATAAAATTAATTTACTGAACCAGGTGTGGTAGTGCATGCCTTTAATCCCAGCACCTATGAGCCAGAAGCAGGCAGATTTCTTTAAATTTCAGGACAGCTTGGTCTACGTAGTAAGTTCCAGGACAGCCAGGGATACATAAGAAACCCTGTCTCCAAAAAACAAAACAAACAAACAAACAAACAACAACAAAAAAAAAACTCACACAAAAAAACAAAATAAAAAAAACAGGATAACTAATCCCTTTTAAATGCAAGTCAAGATTAGTGACCTACCTCACTTTGAAAAATAGCTCTCCTGTAAGCAGGAGAGCTAAAACTGGCCTCCTTCCATTTCAGCACGATGAATGCATGTTCAGCCACGTGTTGACTCTGGATCTCTCCAAGTATCCAGACACTGAAGACCAAGAAGGCAGCAGGAGACACCGGAAGCCCAGAGCATCACGAGCATCCCAGTCTCCACAGTCCCCTCAGTCTCGTTAGAAATGAGAATGCCTGTACCCTGACCCTGTGGAGGTTAGGTCAGTCTCTGTTTAGTCCCATGTGTCATGGAAAAAATTGCTACAGTTTTAATTATACAGTTATAGCCCACTCCAGTTAAGGGGTGCTCAGCCCCATTCCAATGGAGGTTTCCTATGACAGCAATGAATGAAGTGTGTGCTTTTCTTTTGTTTTTTGTTTGTTTAAGAACTTCTGTTTTGAAATAAATTGGTTATAAAATTTTAAATTCTGCAGCATCTTTACTCTGGTCTTGCCTTGCATTATCTTTAAAGGAAACAGCTGGTTAGAGGTTTTTATTTTTGTGGTCCTGGAGATGGAACCCAGACCCTTGTGTAAGTGTTCTACCATTGAATACCTCCCCAGCCTTGATATATGGGAAATTATTTCAGAGGGAATGTGTGTCAGTACTGAAAACAGGTAAAGTAATCTCACAAGTTTTAAAAGCAGAAAACTTTTGATGGTGAAACTGAGTCATCTGCTTTAGTACAATCCTAATTTTTCTAAATCTAGTTTATCTTAAGGATGTACAGAACTATAAGGTGTTGCCTAGTAACAGCGACTTAACGTAAATGCTACTGCATGGAGAAAGGAATGTGGACAGTTTTCAGCAGTGTTTGTTCCTGTTTCAAAGAGAACAGGACTGTCTGCAGATCTTCATGGAAATCTGATTTAGTCCAATTGCTGAAGTCCAATGGTCACTTCTGAATAGAACTTGTTTCTTGTACACAGAACATGCTCTGTGCCTACTTAGTGGACTAAGTCACAAGATTTAGTTCCACCACACATATACACACAGACACAAACACACAAAAAATAAAATGTAATAAGGTCATTGAACTATACACCCCCCAGAAAAGCAAAGATAGCTTTTCTATATATTAAGTGGTTATGAAATACATAAATGCTACAATTAATAGTCAATTTGCCCTGAAATAGCCCTAATTTTAACTTATGGGAAAAGTGGGTATTAAGAGGGCTGTCTAAAGCTCAGTCTACTGTGGAAGGAGGCACATGGTGCACATGGGAGGTAAAAAGCCTCTGAGCTTTAGGGAGCTCCAGAGTGAAGATTTCAGGGTATTCTCTCCGCTCCAAGGAACTGGGTGTGATCTGCAGGACCCAGTTAGGACAGGATCAGCAGACTTCTCGAAGATCCAGCTTCTAGCTTTAGTGAGGCTATAACGAGGTTCTCAGGTGGTTCATATGAAATACTTGACTCTTTTTTTTTTTTTTTTGGTTTTTCGAGACAGGGTTTCTCTGTGTAGCTTTGCGCCTTTTCCTGGAACTCACTTGGTAGCCCAGGCTGGCCTCGAACTCACAGAGATCCGCCTGGCTCTGCCTCCCGAGTGCTGGGATTAAAGGCGTGCGCCACCACCGCCCGGCTGAAATACTTGACTCTTAAGCTCTGGTAAGTAACTACCAGAGAGGGCCGGAGTTTGTCAGCTAACTTTGTGTTTCTCACTAATAAAGTGAAAAGCAAACACCCTGTGCCTAGACTGTTTCCTTCTAATACATGAATCATATTGGAATAAAAGAACATTCAAAACACACGATAACAAAAAGACAATGTAGCTATATTAGTTCGTTATAGCAAGAAAACTCAGATCCTTCAAAGGTGTGACACTAAAGCTTCTGATGGGCTCTGATTTGGTTTGCAGTTTGTATTCTGCTTTTATAGCCAGCAGAATATAATTTTGTATATAATTATATGTAATTTGTATACAGTAATAAGTAAATATAAACAATGTATTGGATCAACTTTAATATTTAACCTGTCTATCCCTGATAGTACTTGCACTTTGTAAATGTGTTTAAAAAAGAAAAAGCCTCACTGCTGAACCTGTAATCACATTTAACAGGATGAGCAGGACTTCCATGAGTTGGAAGCCAGCCTAGCCTACAAGGTAAGATCCTATCTCAATATAATAATAATCTCTTTCTGTTGAGGGTCTATGCATATGAGTGCAGGTGCCCACAGAGTCCACAAGAGGACATTAGATTCCCTGGGTGGTTGGGAGCCACCTGATGTGGATGCTGGAAACCAAACTTGGTCCTCTACAAGAGCAGTATGTGCTCTTAACTGCTAAGCCATTTCTCTAGCCCCCCAAAACCAATTTTCAAAAATCCATGTATTTTTTTTTAATTAGACATATTCAAAAGTAATAATTTGCTTGATTTCACAGTTCAGTGACTAAACATTCTCACTGTATATTACCTCTTATCATAATTAAAGAAAAATTGAGCACACAGGGTTGACTTTAAAATTTTATTCATAACCAGTGACATAAAAGATTTATTTTCCACACTTAAAAAGGGAGGGGTAGGTCTTTAGCCTTTTCTGGCTTCTCCCTCATTCCCTGTCTCAACCTATGTTTCCTGTTCTTAATTATCCCTGTTCCCTTGGGAGCTACAGTGCCATCCATGCAATGTCATAGGCAGGGCTCGGCAAGATATTAGGGCTTGACATATCAAAGATGAGTAGCCTCAAATGAGCCATGCAGACCTTTTTCTAAGAAGTCTTCCTTTCAGGACCACTGCATAACGTGAGCCTTTGCCATAGTCCCTCTCAAAGGAACTCGCCATGTGCAGTGCTCTGAGCATGGGTGTTTCCCAGAAGTAAACCTTGAATGTAGTTCAAATGTGGCAAGCCCTTTCAAAGAATTGCCTACCGCACTCAGTGTAAATCTTAATATGAACCATGGGAAGAGAGGAGAACAGAAAAGATGGGCCTTATCCTAGAGAAATAAGACTTGGAAAGCTTAGAACTTAAGATCTGAAAGTGTAAAGCTTGGTCTTGTGCTTCCCTTTGACTTTCAAACTTCTAAGTCACAAAGTGGATCTAGACAGCACTAAAGACTTTGAAAGAGGTCTTCGGACTCTGGACTTAACACTTCCTACCAGGCAGTCTACCATTTCTTTGGAACAGAAATTACTGAAATGTCACAATTCCAAAAAAACCCAACTGATCTAGTTATCCCTTTAAAAACAACCATTTTCACTAGTGGGTTCAATGCCTCTACTATCCACTCATTCTTTACTATTTAACAATGAAACCAACACATCTTTAAAAAACTTTCTACTGTAAAAGATGTTTCTACATAAAGGTATAAAATATAAATGTTTATGTCTTATTTTCTCTTTGGCAACTACTGTTGCTTGGACAATCTTCACTCTCCTCCATGTATCAGGAAAAATAACACCCTGACATAAGAAAACATGTCAAATGGGAAAAGGGAACAATGCCAGGTACATCCTACCTCCCACCTCCCAATTTGGTCCCTGAGGTAGCTGTCCATTAGTCCTTACAGAGTATACCTGAAGTGTGTCCATGTCACCTCCTGAGCAGCTAAGCACATAGTGGAGCTCTGCCATTCAACCACGAAGGCCACACACCCACATGGCTCTTCTGGGGTGTGTAACAGTTCTCTACAGTAGAGATCCATATGGAGTCCTCTGTACATTCCTCATCACTTGGGCATGGCACTGTGGTTACAGAAGGCTGGTTTTCAAGGTTCAAGTTTTAAAATCTTCAAGACCCTCCAGCATCATCTGTTTAAGCAAAAGAAATACCAAAGTGTTTCAGTTCACTAAAAATTCGATTAGGATTTCTGTTTCACCAGCTAAGTCACATGCTGAAAATTTTAAAAACCTTCCATAACGGGAACAGTAGCCACTGTCTAGAAATGGCCTTTCAGAGCTATATACTACCAAGGACCAGGTACAATGTAGGCATGTAAAGACCTATGGATAATCTCTCCCCATGCAGTTTTCTGGTAGAATCAAGACAGCAATTTCAGCACACATGCAGTAAAAGCCTATTTTAAATATGGATAAGAATGAAGGCTCAGGCTCGGTGCTGGTGCTGGTAGTGGCGCATGCCTTTAATCCCAGCACTTGGGAGGCAGAGTCAGCAGATCTCTGAGTTCAAGGCCAGCCTGGTCTACAGAGCTAATTCCAGGACAGCCAGGGCTGTTACACAGAGAAACCCTGTATCCAAAAAAGAAAGAAAGAAAGAAAAGGAAAAGAAAGAAATGAAGGCTCAGGATGCACACACAATACTGAAACATGTGGTGGTATTGTCTTCCCCAAAATACTGTGTACCCTAATAAACTCATCTGGGGTCAGAGAACAGAAAAGCCACTAGATACTTAGGACAGGCAGTGGTAGCACATGCCTTTAATTCTAGCATTCCAGAGGCAGAAATCCATCTGTTCAAGGATAAAGCCAAGCATGGTGACTCACGCCTTTAATCCCAGAAAGCGAGCCTTTAATCCCAGGGAGTGGTGGTAGAAAGCACAAAGGTATATAAGGCGTGAGGACCAGAAACTAGAAGCATTTGGCTGGTTAAGCTTTTAGCTGGTTAAGCGTCAGGCTTTCAAGCAGCAGTTCAGCTGAGAGCCATTGGGATGAGGACACAGAAGCTTCCAGTCTGAGGAAACAAGACCAGCTGAGAAGTTGGCCAGGTGAGGTTAGCTGTGGCTTGTTCCGCTTCTCTGACCTTCCAGCATTCACCCCAATAACTGGCCTCAGGTTTGATTTTATTAATAAGAACTTCTAAGATTCCTGCGGCAGCAACACAGGTAGAAACTCCATTTCGTTGGGGAGCTTCAGGCTGCAGGTGTGGACAGCGGGACTAAGAAGGTTGCCCTTGACCTTTTTCATCCATATGCAGAACAGGCTAAGGCTTTCTGCACATCAGAGACCAGAGGTCAAAGCTACACAGAGAAACCCTATCTCAAAACAAAACCAAACAAACAACAACAAAAACAGAGACCAGAGGCATTTCGTTAAGTATGACTGCCTGGGAGAGCAAGGCTGAGACAGTTGCTCAGGGTGTCAAAGAGGATCCCTGGCTCTATGGCATAGACAGTAGCCCTGGCATCTGAACAAACAGCATTCAGAGAGATCATGAACATGTCAAACCTACATGTATACAGGTGACAGCAGGAAAACAAAGCAAAACCAAAACCCCACAACTCTGCACTGACAATCACTGGAACCTTACATCAGCAGACGGTGGAGGACGCCTAGATGTGAGGAAAACCAGGAACATGAAGGAGACCAACAGAAAAGAAACACCTGCCCAGAGGCAGCAATTAAGGAACTAGTCTGTACCATTTTAGTTATAGATGTCCTTGCCAACTAAAAATACAAGCCAAAGGAAAGGTGCCAAAGAATTTTGTCTATACACAACCAAAACTGAATTTTCCTGTTAAAGATATAATTACCAAACACACTAAAGTTACACAAAAATCTGAAAGAAGCATGCAGTCTCCAGCAGCTGTTCCCAACCATTGTCCCAGCATCTCTACTCACTCCTCTTGGGACACCTCTAGAAAGCCTCCACAGCCTCTGGTGTCCTGCCACCAATCCAATCCCAGTGTGACTAATTCACTCTGCAGATAATATTTAAAATGGCCTTGTTTCATTTGACTAGGTGATCTGTGTTCAGTGTGACTAAAAAACAGATGACTTCAGCAACTCATGTCCTTGGAACGTATAGTACATATATCTCTTATCCAAAACATACTAGTATACCTTATTCAAAATGTTTGGGGCCAGACTTGTGAGTTTTGGGGACTTAGGAATTTTGCACAGAATTTAAGGGATTGAATATCTCTAATTGGAAATCTAAAATGCTTCCAAATCTGTAATTTTAAATATATATATATATTTTTTCTCGTGTGTGTGTGTGTGTGTGTGTGTGTGTGTGTGTGTGTGTGAGAGAGAGAGAGAGAGAGTGTGTGTGTGTGTGTGAGAGAGAGAGAGAGAGAGAGATAGAGAGAGAGAGAAAGAGAGGGCGAGAGAGAATACCTGCAGAGGTCAAAAGAAGGTGTCAAATCCCTTGGAGCTAGAGTTACAGGTGGTTGGAGCCACATGGATACTGAGAATTAAATCAGGGTCCTCTGTAAGAATAGCAAACACTCTTAACCACTAAGCCATCTCTCTCTCAAATCTAAAATGTTTAAGAACCAAAAAGTTTCAGTTTGGGAGGGGTTCACATTAGGAATGCTCAAGCTCTGTCACAGTACTGACTAGACACCCACTGAGGAGTTAACTTTAAATATTTGTAGGTCATCAGTATGCTAAATGTTCCAAAACTCTGGAAAATTATTAGAGAAGAGTTACATAAGTATGTAAGAGTAGTGTTTGGGTATATATACTTATTCTCTCTCTCTCTCTCTCTCCCCCCTGCCCTCCCTTTTCTTCTTGCCTCTCCTCTCTGTTGTTCTGGAGACAAGGGCTCTTATATGGTCCAAACCAACCTCAATCTCATGATACCCCTGCCTCAACTTCATATGTGCTACAAGTGATTAGAGATGTATTCCATGGTGGGAAAGCCTGAGATTTTTCTTCTAGTAGGAAAATGCCTATAATCAGAAATCTATCCAAAAAAGCTTCAGGATTGAGGTGGTAACAGATAATCAGAGCAGACTCTGGTCTCCAAAGATTTGAAAAGACTTATCGCAGCACTATACAACAGATAAGAGAAGAATCTCAGAAACCTATTCTTACTATTAAAGTAAGAATTTTAAGTTGGGCATTTTAAGTTTGAGGTCAGCCTGATTTATACATGGTGAGTTCCAGGCCAGCCATGGATACACAGTGAGAACTCCATCAACAAACAAAATTTAGATGCTGGAGACGTAGCTCACTATGCCTGGCATGCATAAGCCCCTGCTTTATATCCCCAGCTCCAGGCACTCAAAAATAACTAACATTTTAACCTAAGGACTAAAATATAATTTTGAGAACTTCTCAAAGTGTTTTAATAGAAATTGAAAATGAAAATTAAGAAGCACTAAAGGGCCGGACGGTGATGGCACACAGCACTCGGGAGGCAGAGGCAGGCAGATCTCTGTGAGTTCAAGGCCAGCCTGGTCTACAGAGGTGACACAGAGAAACCCTGCCTCAAAAAACAAATACAAAACAAGCATTAAAGGAAACATAAAAGACAGTGGAACCAATCCAAGAGACTCCAAGTAGCATGATTCCCAACATGAGAGGAAAGGAGAAGATTCAAAGAAGAAATAATTGCCAATGCGAGACAATCCAAAGTGGAAGAAAGGAGTGCTCAGAAAATAAACATGTAACTGATAGTGAGCACACATCTACAACTAAAGTCACAGCCTCGGCCCACTAACACTGCAAACAAGCCGAAAGGAAAGACTACAGATGCCTTTAATAAAGGAAGTGCTTTTCTTTTTCCACCTTTTAGAATCCAGAGTAGAGGCTTTGCTTCCTTTTTATCCTGTGTCTAGGTGCTTCACATTGGCAGTGTTAAGAGCTGGAGCTGGGAGAGCGAGATGGAGAAGGGAGATAAGGGAGAGCCTTTCAGAACCTAATCAACAGACTCAACCCCAACTCAAACCCAGTACTAGTAACTAGAGTAACTAGAAACACCTGGAGAAGGGAAGTAAAGGAGGCCACAGGACATGAGTAGTCAGCCAGGTCACCTTGCCTCCTATCAATGGAGTCTACTGAGATGAGCAGTTGACAGTTGACAAGCACCTCTGTGGTAGAGATAACAAAAAGCAAGAGTCTGAAGTGGTTTCTTTAGAGACTAATGTGGGCACTCTGGCTGGTGGGGGAATACTCCCAAAAGGTTCTGTCTATTGACTTGGTATGAAAACGGTGTCTTTTCCTCATGAACGCTCAACTGAGCCGATGCTCCATCACTTGCCTGTTTTCCTTCAATTACATTACTTCAATAGAAATTTTGGGAAAACAACGGTGCCTCTGATGAGTGGTGTGAAAGGTCTGTGTGACTCTGACATGGTGTGTGCTACTCCTCCCTGCAAACCAGGAGTGTTAGCAAAGCACTAACTACAGAAACTACGGATCTAAGATGGGTCCCACAAAACAAGTAATACCTACCAGTGTCTGACCGTCGGACTTTTTTTGTAATTTCAATTCCATTTTCTTCCAACTTCCTCTTCGCACAATCCTGACATGCATTACCTTAAAAAATGTTTGTATTAAAAAAATTAAGAAATTTATAAAAATAAATTTAAAAAAACAATTTACATTAAATAGTCCAGGAGGAAAAAGGGCAGCATGAGGGTAACAGTTGGGGTGTTCTGGAAATTCACTTGTCATCCTTGCATAGCCTTGAAATTGCCCATAAATGGAAATACAGTTTGCCTACTTTTTATGGTGTAGATATGAAGTATCCCGCAAACCCCATGGTTTAGGCTTGGTCCCCAACACAGAACCCCCAAGTGAGGCTGTTGGGGTAGTGACTAGATCCCGAGGTCTCCAACCCAATCAACAACATTGCAGGAGGTAGAAGCCTGGCTGGAAGTTCAGTCACTGGGGCATGACCTTGTCTCTTGCACTCACTCTGCTTCCCTCTCCTGCTACCCTGAGGTGAGCAGCTTTCTTCTGCCACGTCTCTCTTTAGTCACAGGTCCAGAAACAATGGAGCCAGGTGACCAAGGACTCAAGCCTGAGAGCCAAGTATATTTTAAGTTGCTTTTCTCCAGAATTTTGTCACAGAAAGCCCGTTAGGGAACTGGTGCTAACAGCTGAGGCCATGGCTCTATCTGAGCATGTGCACCAGAAGCCTTTAAACCAATATGCAGGAGTGATTTACAAGTTTAGAGAAACATGTTAGGAAAAGCTTAGAAATAAATGCTCAGTGTTCAGAGGCCCAGGATGCTCATTCGAATACAAACAGTAAGGACTGTTCATAGGCTCAGGGGAAAATGAGGACTCCAGGGGTTTGGACTAGAGGCCATTCATTTCACATTCTAGAAAACATTATTAATTAGTGAATTAAAAGTCTACATTTTGTCCATGCCCTGAGACTTTGTGGGAGGTTGAATTTAAAAATGATAGACTAAATAATCCGGTGAAGGAAACTGCAAGGCTGCACAGTACTCAGGCTGTGGCATGGGTATTACTAGCTGCTTTTTAGCCAGCTTCACAGTGAGAGTTAAAAGCAAAAAGCAGAGAAGAATTGGAAAACCTTAGAGTTCGGCCAGAAAAGTAAGACATTTGAAGTTAGGATTAAGGAAGGTGTGGCTGCCATGCTTTTGTACCAAGACAACAGGAAAGATGCCTTGAAGGTCTCTTAGAAATCAGCTAGGGCTATCAATCACAGGCTCAAGGGAGTAAAGCTACAATGTCAGCTTTGCTTCAAGAGGATGGACTTCTGTGCCTTTACAGTGGCAGGGCCATCTGAAGGCATTGCCATCTATCCTTTCTCTGCTACTTGATAAGAACTTATTGAATGGAAGGGGCACTTTCATGACGTCACCAATGGTGATGAGTAGTAGACTATGGAAGCGAAAGTCGGGAGCAAAAGTAAAGATCTGCTTTACCCAGTAAGGTGGTGCTGTCCACTCGCTCAGCATCTGGGAAGAGAGGAAACAGTCAGCAAAGCCAAGACATGGAGTACTCTTCATCAGGCAGAGGCTTGGGACAGGCTTCTGTGCCAACTGCATCGCATGCCAACCATGGAGCCCTGCCTGTGTCACCCACTTCTTCACCTGGCAGGACGGCTGCAAGAACTCACTGCATGGCCATGTGACGCTTGGCCATGCAGTGAGACACAGTACCCAAACAGCTAATGCCACTTTCCCTGTCGGTAGGCATCCTCATCATCAGGAGAGAACACAAATACAAATGCCCTTCATGACAGGTGGCACAGATGAAAACCTCAGTGACCTTTTACTCCTAGCCGCTCACTGAGTCTGTTCAGCTGCCAGGTCCTGGAAAAGGAGCTTCAATGGGGGTGGGAAGCAATTCAGCTGCTTACTCTAGACACCATGCTCAATGGCTGGGTGCTGCCTTCTAGGGAGTCAGGGCTGGGGAGTCTCAAGAGTTGGTGGGCAGGACAGAGATGGGCAGGATGAGGGAGGTCTCTGAAGATCCATGCACACAACGGGTACCAAGACATTTTTGTCTCTGTTGGTGCAGGATCAAATCCCAGCTCCCAAGTTCTGGCGCACACTGGGCAAAACTCACCTCCCCCAGCTGCTATCAACTCTAAACATCTAAGTAGCAAAAGGTACTAATACTAAAAAATAAGGGCAGCTGGGCATGATGGCACACGCCTTTAATCCCAGCATACGGGAGGCAGAGGCAGGCAGATCTCTATGAGTTCTGGGACAGCCTGATCTACATAGTGAGTTCCAGGACAGCCAGAGGAAAATAGTGAGACCCTGTCTCAAAATAAACAAAATAATAATGGCAAAAATGTAAAATTTGTAGTTGTGCAGGGCCCTCTCTACAACTTGAATTCTCTGTTCCCACTCCCAGTAAGAACTGACAGCTACCCTAATTGTACACCTCCTCCTAATTTAGCCACTAGACCACCAGTGGCACAGACTCCTGGCGGCTGTACTATGTGCAGCTGTCCATTGCTGGTCTCCGCTAGCCTCATTCCACCACATGGTGAGCCTCTGGGTTCCTGTTACCATGAAAGGTCAGGCAATACAGAACTTTCCATGCTTGCCATCATCCATGTTTTATGACAATGAACTCAAAGCCCTTAATTCCCTAGTGTAAAAGTGAATCAGTATTTCCCACGGTCGTGGTTTAAACTGGCAGAACTGTGACTCCCTAGAAAGGCCAAAGCACCAATGAGATGGGGGAGGGGATGGGGGGGATCAAAGCTACCTGAAGCTTTGTGTTTTCTGTGCTTTTCAAGGTTCAGCTTTTCCAATGTAGTGAAGGATGAAGGTATGTATATGATATTCACATAATTAAGGTTTAAGTATTACAACCAACAGAACTGGCCTGAAATATGAATCAGTGTGTCCCACATTTGTGGGCAGAAGTCTCAAGTTCTACTTACAGATTGTCACTATTATACAATCACCCCATTTTCTACTTTGAAATTTAGAGGCATTAAGAATAACTAATTATTGGTAATTGGTAAGTCTCATCGGCTGAGAGGGGAAGCAGCTGAAGGAAGAAGCCCCAAACCGTGCTCGGGAAGTAATGACAGAACTCCATACCTGGACTTCGCTGTTTGCAGATCTGAGTGGCTAGGTCTTGCACATAGCCTGGGAAAAGGTCAAAACAGTCCCCATAGGACACCACTTTGATTCCATGCAGAAGCATGTCTGCTTGATGCTTAAAGAAGTGGTCTTCGTTCTCCTTGAGTACTACCATGTAGTGCTCTAAGTCCACCTTGTTTGGCACTGAGTACAAGAAGAGGGCTTGGAATATCTGGTCGCGCAGGGTCTCTCCACAGCCCACAAAGAGGAAGGACTTGGTTCGGTACAAGTTTTGCAGGACTTCCTGGGGAAAGCCAAAAACAAAGGAGACATCTCTGTGAGGACAGCAGGAGCTCACAGTTAACACAAAGTCACCTCTATGTTCATTTACATCCTATCCTGTACCCACCAGGCTTCCCAAGAGCCACCCTGAGGAGCTCTGAAAGGCTATGAGCTCTTGACATACTCAGGTCAACCCCATGCAGTGGTCTGTACCACTAGAGTTCAGCTAGGCTCAGATCCACCTCCCAGCTAGGACAGAAGGTGAACCAACAGAGCCGGGGTGCTGGCCAACCTGCCCAGCACAAACGCACCTCACAATGAGGACAGGCTACGGGACACCTATGGCTTGCCAAATCAACTCACCCAAGTCAACTCCTAGACTTACGTACAATCCTCAATTACTAAAACACGAAACAAGAACATTAAAATGTTCCCAGTTCTGCTGGATGTGGTAGCACATACCTTTAATCCCAGCACTGTGGGGCAGAGGCAGATGGAGCTCAGTGTGAGAGTTCCAGGCCAGCCTGGTCTACACAGCAAGTACCAGGCCAGCTGGGGCTACAGAGTCAAAAGACCCTGAATCAAACATTTTTTCTTGGTTCCAAGCTGTATACAGACAACACCCTGGAACTAATGAATGGCTAGATGAACTGGATCCCACAGTAGGGTAGGGGTAGGTGAACTTTGGTGAGTGAAGGCAAGAGAACAGGCAGTAAGCCAAGCACAGATTCTGAGGGTCACTCAGAGGAACAGGAGTCACTGATTCAAACATGAAGCCCTCTCAGCAAGGCCTAACACCAGGACAGCACTTTCTCATGATGAGGGGCTCAGCGGCATCAACTCTGAGTCCAGAGAAGAGCTCTGGGGACCATGTACCTGATCCTAGGAGTGAACACACAGACTCAGTCAGAGTTCTAGATAGCCTGCTATGGTGGCACATGCCTGTAATTCCAGCACTTGGGAGGCAGAAGCAGGCAGAACAAGAGTTCAAAGATACGTAGCAAGTTTGAAGCCAGACAGATAACATGAGACCCCATCTCAGAAATGGGGGAGGGTGGTGGCCAGGACAGAGGAGCTTGGCAACATACTGTCAGGATAGGGCTTTTCACATGACACACTTCACATGGACATCTGCTGAGGACATCAAGACAGGCTTGGGGTGGGGGGCTGGAAAGGTGCTCAGTGGTTAAAAAGGAGCACTGGGAGCTCTTCTGGAGGGCCCCGTTCAATTCCTAGCACTCACATCAGGTAGCTCAACCACCTGTAACTCCAGCTCCAAGGGATCCAATGCCTCTGCTTCTACTGGCACCTGCACTCACTATGTGTACACACACACACACACACACACACACACACACACACACACACACACACACAAATCTGTTTAAGAAATTAAGAAGGCTGGGAATGGTAGCAAATATGTTTAGTCCCAGCACTCAGGAGGCAGAGGCGGCAGATCTCTGAGTTCAAGGCCAGTCTGGCCTACATAGTGAGTTTCAGGACAGCGAAGGCTCTGTAGAGAGACCCTTAAAAAGTGAACAAAGGCAGTCAAAAAATGAGGTGTTAATTGGTTTTGTCTGCCGTGCGTGCTGGCATGGAACCGAGGGCATGTGCTGGGCAAGAGCTCAGCCAGAGCTCCATTCTTAGCCTGAATTTTAAAACTACGTTTGGAAAGCTCAAGAGATTGCTATGTAAGGAGGGTGAGGACTGCAGACAGAAGACACCTGAGCAAACACAGAGAACGGAGGAACAGGGAAAACAGAGGAAGACCACAGGCTACCAGCATCATGCAAGACTCCTGCCAAGTCCCTGGCAAGGAAATCGTTGAGCTAGTGCTGGTACCAAGAGAGAGGTTTGTACTTCCTTTTTTTTTTCCCCAGGGTTTGTACTTTCTAAGGAAGCACACACTTCCTCCTCCAGAAAGTGTGCCCTGAGCATCTACTCAAAATGCAGGCCCTGTACCAGGGCACAGAGACATAGCTAAGAACAGGAAAACAGGGTCCTATCCCCAGCAACCGTGTGGAGGGAGGGTCAACAGGCGACCAGAATGCCTGGGAAACACTCAGACTACAGCCAGATGGCTGCTTGCCACCGTAAATTCCCCAGGACAGGCACCCAAGGCTTAGTGAAAACAGGCATACCATTACTTCTGGATCTTGAGTGACATCTTTATAGCCCGATGGGTCCAGTACCATCCCACAGGGGTCTGTGTACAAGCCATGAATATGAAGAACTCCATACTTGATGTGGCCTCTTGCCCACTGAAGGACCTATCAAAAACCAAACCAAGACAAAGAAAAGCCTGGTGTTACTTCAAACAAGATACAAGAAGAAAATATCTGAAAAGGTAAATGTTTCCACTTATAATTACACTTTGAAAACAAAATGTGGCTGGCAGTTATTCCTGCCCAGAACTCAGCAGGATCTTTACAGACAGTGTGTGGACTGTAACTCTGCTGTTCCAGCAGCTGGTAGTGACTGTGTGGGGGAAGGGACCTTCTTAAGTTATATGCAGCTCATCACTCTGTGCTGTTGCAGGTGTTGTAATTGAGTTTGTTTCCATTTTCCTGTTTTGGTGCTGCAGGTAAAACCCAGGTCCTCCGTCACATATGTGAGATGAAGTGTTCTACGCCCGGGCTATAATACCAGCTGTTATTTTTACACCAGCAAAACTACATATTCATAAAAAGGTCACTTATCCAATAGCCCCTACATTCATTTCAGTTCTAATTACAGAGCCAAGCGGGTTACAGGACACACTCCATGTCTGTGACTCATCCCTCAGTGTGGGGCTCCTGAATCTGCAGGCTCTACAGATACAGACTAACTGGGGGCAGAGGCTCGCCCGACGACAATTCTCTTACCCATAACAGACTATTCATTTCCTAAGGTGCTATCATGCTCAGCCACAGCCTGTGTGCACCCCCTCCTAGGGCTAAGTCACAGCACAGGATCCCCAAGCAGCCAGCCTGTGCCCACAGCCAACTCTAGACAGGCTACCACAGAGAGAACATAGGTACCACTCAGTGGCCAACAGGACAGGTAGCAATGTGAATCCCTAATAACCCAGAATATAAGACTATCACAAAAGGCACAAACATGCCAAAAATGAAAATGGTCCATGAAGTGGAACTGTTCAACCTCAGCAATAAAAGGGAAACAATTAGGATTTTCACCCTGACAGGGAAATGCTTGGCTTTTCTGTTTTGTTTTGTATTTGAGACAGGTACCCAGACCTGCCTCAAACTCACTAGGTAGCTTGGGGCAGGCTCAAATTCACTCAAATTCACAGCCTCCAAAGTGCTAAGGTTCCAGGCGAGCACTCCCATGCTTGCTTGCTTTTTTTTTTAATAACTCCACTGCTGGCAAGGGACAGGGAATGCTGTGCCACACAGAGCTGGAGGGGCACACCTGCCTTCTGGTGCTAGGATTACAGGCACCACCATGCCAGGCCAAATCACTGTCAACAACTTCTGGGCTCTTCTTCTCCCTTAGAACACGCTCTCAGAAGTTCTTCCTCACTTTTCTTTAAATTACATTTGCTCTTTTTAAAATAAAAATAATCTAGTTTGAATGACAATGACCTTCATAGGCTCATCTATTTGAACACTCGGTCCCCAGTTAGAACTGTTTGGGAAGGGTTAGGAGGTGTGGCCTTGTTGGAAGTGTGTCACAGGGGTGAGCTTGAGGTTTCAAAAGCCCACACCAGGCCCAGTCTGTCTGTCTGTCTCTCTCTCTCTGCCTCCAACATGTAGCTCAGATGTAAGCTCTCAGCTACTGCTCTAGCACCAGGCCTGCCTACCTTCTGCCAAGCTCCCTACCATGATGGTCATAGACTCACCCTCTGGAACTGTAAGCAAACCCTCAAATAAATAAATGCCTCCTTCTACAAGGTACCTTGGTCATCGTGTCTCATCATAGCAACAGAACAGTAAGTAAGACAAAATCGCCTAATGAAGCCAGGCATCATGGAGTACGCCTGTAGTAATAACACCTGGGAGGCAAAGGCAGGAGGATCACTGTCAGTTCAAAGCCAGCATGGTCTATATAGTGAGCTGCAGCCCAGCTACAACTATATAGCATGAGCCTGTCTCAAAAACAAACAAAAATGGCTAACGGGAGCAAGGCACAGTGCTGTGTACCTTGAACCTCGGTACTTGAAAGCAGAGGCACGTGGACCCCAAGTGTGAAATCTGCCTGAGCTATTCAGTAAGACCCTGTCTCCAAAATAAATATTAAGGGGGGAAAAAAAAGCAGCATTGAAATGTTTGCATACATCGTAATCCCAACTGTGCCAGTAAAACCCACCCTGGGAGGATTGCAGTCCTTTCTTTTCATACTTGCTTTATCATCCATATTCCCACAGTGACCGCTAATGACTAAATGTAGACAGAAACGCTCGCAGGGCACGGGACAGAACAGTATGAGTGGATAATAGCAAGCACCCCAAGAGGGGAGGGCACGACTCCCAGGCTGCTTGAGGAAACGGCTGTGTGGCATCTAGGAGTAACCCAGTGCCTCGTTTCAATGCAGACACCAGTGACGTGTCCGCGGCAGTGACTTCCCCGACTCCTGCCCAGCCCGTACCTTTGTCTTGTCCTTCAAGTCCAGGGACTCCATGGGCTTGCTCTGCTGCTGCCCGAAGATCTCCAGCAAGTTGTCATAGTTGGTAGTCAGCACCATGGTGCCCCTGTCCATTAGGCCGAGGATGGACTGCAGCACCACGGGGTTCTGGATGTGCTGTTCCAAGCTGTCAAAAACCTCCATTAGGCAATCCTGGAAGAAGTTAGGCTTGGTGTCTCCTGTGCGCTATGGAAAGGTAGATCAAGAGTTAGGAACACACGCCGGGCAGTGGTGGTGCACACCTTTAACCCCAGAGCTCAGGAAGCAGAGACAGGTGGATCTCTATGAGTCTGAGGTCAGCCTGGGCTACAGAGCGAGTTCCAGGACAGGCAGGGCTCCAAAGAGAAAGAAACCATCTCAAAAAACAAACAAACAAACAAAAAAAGAGTTAGGAATGCAAGGTGGGCCTGATGGTGCACAAGGCCGAAGCAGGTACACATCTCTGTGAGTTTGAGACCCGCCTGGTCTTCACAGTGAATTACAGGCCAGCCAGGTCTGCATAGAGACCCTGTCTCAAAATAACAACAACAAAAGGAGTTAGGAACACCAGAGCTCACTGTGACAAAGCCATGGTACCTGAGTAGGAGGCACATTCTTACAAACAGAAAGAAGGAAGTCAGTCTTGGAGGAGGAGGAGGAAGGGGAGGAGGAGGAGGGTGGGAGGAGGAGGAGGGGGAGAGCTCAAGGGCAAGGCTGTAACACTGCAGCAATAAATACTACAGGGAAAGCCAGGCAGCAGGCAGAGTAGGGGTGCAGCTACCGCTGGGGTGAGCGTGGGCAGGTCAAGGGCCCCCAGAGTCTCTCTGAAGAATCAATGTCCAGGCAGAGACCTGCAGGAGGAGTTCTCAGGACTGCTGTAAGCACACAGCGGCAAGTAAAAGGGACTGAGGTAGGAGTGAAAATGGGTCCAAGGTCAGAAAAGCGCCCATGTGTGGCTAGGAGAGGGAGGGGGAAGACAGCAGGTCAGAGAGGTGGCCCGGACCAGGTTTTGTACACGGAAAGTCCCTACGTTCCAAGAGGGCAGGGAAGGTAGGGCGCTAAGGGCGTGAGCCGGGAGAAGCGGCGGCAGCAGAGCTTTGCTGAAGGGACCCAGAGGATGGGGTTGAGTTGGACACACACAGGGGTCAAGGAAGAGCAGCCTGCCTAACCTAGGCTTCGCCTCAGTCAGCACCTCAAGGGCCCACAAGGCAGAGCCACCAGGCAAGTTCCCTCAGGCCCCTCCTTCTCCCAGGAGGCTGTGGGGATCTCACCACTGCGCCATTCACCTGCAGTACCTGCTAGGCCTCATCTTTATCCATGGCACCAGAACCCTCCTGGAAAACCTGCCAACACAGCAGAGGCCTGCTGGCCACCCCACCTGACTCCTCGGGAGGTTCAGAAGAGCGCACAAGGGTGAGAGGTGACAGACAGCACTTCAGACGCCTCTCCTAACCAATGAGCAACATGACAGCCTCTCCCTGCATGAGCCACACACCCTCCATGCTGCCCAGCCATCCACAGATGTAGCCTTCCTCTTCCTGTAGAAGGAAGGGGTCAGCACCCTTTGTCTACCAAGGCCAGTAAATCTGTTAGGCCTGTGGCCACAGCTCCTCTGCAACTACTCAAGCTGGCCTCTGGGCACGAGAGCAGCCATAGACAATGTGCCTGCAAGAGGGTGTGGCCACATGCCAACACAACCTTATAAAAATGGCTAGCAGGTCAGGTTTGGCTCAGCCCCTGCCTACAGTGGCAGCTGCCCCTGATTAACAGAACACCCCCACTTGGCCCAGCCCCACCTAACTGAAAACGTCCCCAGCCTGGGAAGGTGAGGTGCAGCATCAGAATGACAGACTGATCTAGTGACTCCATGGGACGCCATGGAAGGGTGAAGGCTGACAGCCCATCTCCCACTGCCCACTGGAAAACAGCAGGGGAGTCAGGCAGCCACTGTACAAAGACAGGGCACTTCATGCTGAGGCTGGCAGAGCCCAGATCCCCAGTACCATGGAGCTCTTGCACCCTCCTGGGCTGCATCCCCAGGTTTCAATATAGGAATCAGTTACTATCACAATAAAACCACACCATTTGACCCAAAAGCTCTCCTGCCCTTCCTGTTGACCATTTCAGGTTCATATCATCTTCCCTTGGGCTCACAGCTCAAGTTTCCTTCTGCCTCCTCCAAATGCTGACTGCACATCTCCCACGAACACAGACCAGGGAGAAGCGGCCTACTCCAGCTTCACACTCTGCTTAGCACCTGCACCCGGCACAGACACCACGAGCTGGCTGTGCCTCTCATTAACTGTCCCCTGCATCACCAACTATGTGACTGCTCTGCTGTGTCACTTCTACCAGCAGACAGACACTGACTTCCCACCTTAAAATGTCTTCTGAGGGCCCACTGTATCAGGAGAGGTATGACTACCAACACAGTATTCACAGCCTCTCACAAACCTCACACCAAAAATGCAGCATGTCAACATCCAGAGCCAGCCAGCTTATGGGGTCATTGCTACAGGCTGATCCAGCCCCTGCAGACAACGTCAGGGTTTGAAAGGGTAGCATCTGCTGGGCATGATGGCGCACACCTTTAATCCCAGCACTCAAGAGGCAGAGGCAGGCAGATTTCTGAGTTCCAGGACAGCCTGGGCTACACAGGGAAACCCTGTCTTGAATATATAAAAAAAAAAAAGAACAAAAGGACGGTGACCAGCTAGGCTGAGCACTAAATAATGAGTACCTCTGCTCATGGAGGCCGAGTGTTTAATCTATTCACTCCCTCAACCTGGCCTAGAACCCAAAGGCAGCCCAGTGAAACCAGAAGGGTTTGAGACTCACAGGTGACATTTTCCGGATCAGATCATGGGCCACAACCAGCAGGTCCCGGTCCTTCATCACCTTCCTCCGGAACTCGGCAACGTCCCCGGGGTGCAGGACCTCCAGCTGCTCCGCAGCCTCGATGACTGCCTCGATGCAGCTCCTCCAAGAGCAGAGTGCGCGGATGCCTGGGGCCACTGCTGCACTCACGCCAGTCCCGATGACCAGGAGCAGGTCCTGGGGTTGCTTCCTGATGAGGCTCTTTAAAAACTTCCTATTGAGAAACAAGGGAAGAAGAATCCAACAGTCGCTTGGAAGTACCGAAAGCTTCCAGTCTAGAAACATTTAGAATGTTCAGGTCAAACACTGGCCCTTCCATACGCTACCAGAAGACAAAGTCCATGCTGCTCACAATGATAAGCACATTAACATGACAGTATCTGTGAACAAACAGTTCAGCCCCTCTCATCCTCTGAAGCTGCAAGAAGTTTGCAAACACTAAGGACAAAATGATCTTGCTGTGGTGACAGCAAGACAATTTCTGACAAAATGCAGGTTTTCTGCCACCCCCGCGCTGCGCTCTCCAGGGGGCAGCAGTTTATTCTGCATCACTTTCCAGGAAGTGGAACCTGGGGCCACTCACAGTCCTGGGGCCTTCCCACCCTCCACCTCCACACTGCTTGGTTTAGAGATGGGGCTCAGATGGCTTCTTGGAGCAGAAAGTCATTTTCTGCCATGTTTCTTGCGTTGGAGGAGACCGTGGTGAGCAGCTCTGGGTTCCCCTCCCAGCGTACCCCTATTTCCTAACTGACTCTAGTTACCTTGATTTCTGTTCACTTCTGTTCGTTGTCTTTTCCACTGACTCCATCTGTGAATCCTAAAGAGAAATGATCATCAGCCCAGGTTCTACTCCCCAGATGAAAGACTTCTTACGAGTGTCCTGGAAGACAGTAAGGATGGGGTTGAAACCACAGGTCCTGACTCCCCATCTAATCAGAACACCTGGAAAATGCCATCTACGAAAAGACACGTACAAACAGTTCCTCGGCTTCCACCGGTCAAGGGTTCGAGTGTCTTGGGCCAACAGAAAGGAAAACATTCCCAGAGCAGGCAGTGAGCAGCTTTTATGAGCTAGTTCCCCATTGTGTTTTCACCCTGGAAATGTCTCCTTAAGACAAAGCCATCTACAATTTTCCCAATCCCCTATCCCTTGATTCTAGAACTAATGTTTACTGTGAGCAAGGAAATATGCAGAGAACTTGGTATGAAGGCCTATATCCTACTATCACTGAGAATTATGGTACCATTTGCCCATTTACCTCCAGGCTTTTTACTGATATTTTTCATGTAATTTGAGAGCCTAGTACATATCCTAACTTTAGTTTTCTGTGTTATTAGGAACTATTCAAAATTAAAAGCAAGCCACACATGTGGAATTACAATATACTGACTGATACGCCATCTTCAATAGCCCTTCACTAATGCAAGATGCTAGTAGCATGGTGAGCAGCTTGTGTGCAGAACTTGTAATGACCCTGTCTATGGAGGGCAGCCCTCTGAGCGGCAGACCTGCTGAATTAAAGGCATGAGCAGAGCAACATCTACGATCCCATCAGGCAGAAGGGCAGAAGCAGAGGGACCTGAGTTAAAGGCCTGCCTAGGCTATGTAGGGACTCCAGCTCAAAACAAAGGAGAAAAAGAAGTCCTACCACTCCTCAGCACCCCCTGCGGCAGCACCCCCTGCAGCAGCACTCACACCCTGCAGCAGCACCCCCTGCAGCAGCACTCACACCCTGCAGCAGCACTCACACCCTGCAGCAGCACCCCCTGCAGCAGCACTCACACCCTGCAGCAGCACTCACACCCTGCAGCAGCACCCCCTGCAGCAGCACTCCCTGCGGAAGCACCCCCGGCGGCAGCACCCCCCGGCAGCAGCACCCCCTGCAGCACCCCTGCAGCAGCACCCCCTGCAGCAGCACCCCCAGGGGTCAGCAGTGGGAAGAACACCAGCCCTGCCAACCCTCCCCACAGACTCCAAACCCTTGTCCACATTCTAACCTTTTTCCTCTTCAATTAGAATTAGGTCGCCAAAAATAATTTCCCAGGAGAAATCACCAAGCTCAATGAGTCTATAAGTTGCACCCTCAGGCTGGAGAAATGGGGTCCTGCAGTCACCCATGAAAACATGTGAAGCATCCATCCCCCCACCTTAGAGGAAAACACTCATAGCTTCCAAAGTCTCCAAGAGTCCCTGACCTTTCCTCAGTGCTAAGAAACTAGTCCATGGGCCAAAAAGTGAAGCTGGCCGGGCAGTGGTGGCGCACGCCTTTAATCCCAGCACTCGGGAGGCAGAGCCAGGCGGATCTCTGTGAGTTCAAGGCCAGCCTGGTCTACAGAGTGAGATCCAGGAAAGGCGCAAAGCTACACAGAGAAACCCTGTCTCGAAAAACCAAAAAAAAAAAAAAAAAAAAGTGAAGCTGGCAGAGGATGCCACCTGCCCGGGGGAAAGAAGGGCCGGAGGAGTGCGGGTGCCCTCCCACCTCACTGCAGTCACCATACACGGTCAAGTCTACTTTGTTTTTGTAACCTGCTAGAAACTTTCTAAGGCAAGTTACAAGTATTCTAGTTCACAAAACCTGTCCACTGCACACCGAAGCCCTATGGACCCCACCCCAAGAGTCCAGGGGGCCAATACATATTCGTTGATTCTGTTTCCGACTGTAAAGCAGATTCCTGTAACTGGCCAAACTACCAAGCTCAGTCCTCTCTAGAGGGAAAGTGCTCTGTGAACCAAACTGCTAGGCCAAGCAGCTGAGCTGTGTCCCACAGCTGAGAACAGGGGTCAGGAGTCAGGAGGGGGGCGGGACCCCTGAAGGACAGAGCACAGAGATGCTGCTGCACTTCCTGTTTGAAGTTAACATGAGCAGACTAACTCAAGACCACCAAAATAACTGTCTTCAGAGTGAACCTGTCTTCCTGCCTGGGGGAAAGTCCTTCATCCTGGCCGGCTCTCCCCAGCACTTTACAGCTTGACTTCAGTCAGAGGCAGCCAGCATGCCTTAGAAATGGCACAGCCTTACACCGGGCGGTGGTGGCGCACGCCTTTAATCCCAGCACTCGGGAGGCAGAGGCAGGCGGATCTCTATGAGTTCGAGGCCAGCCTGGCCTACAAAGTGAGTTCCAGGAAAGGTGCAAAGGTATACAGAGAAACCCTGTTTTGAAAAACAAAACAAAAAAAAAAAATGGCACAGCCTCAACTGTTAGCACGGAAAGAACTTAAAGACTCCCTAGATCTTCCTCCTGTTCAACTGCTTTTGTCCTCCACACATCTGTAGGCACCACAGTTAACACCCAAAACCGTGCACTTGGACCTTGGCGGCAAAGTAACACGAAAACAAGAGATTTCAGTTCCCCAAGAAAACGAGAGACACTCACAGGAGAGAACTCTGCTCTGGGCAGGCACACTGTGGCTGGTTCCTGCTGGGCTCTGCCTCAGCCTGAGTTGGTGGTCTGGAGAGGTCTCTGCAGCCAGCTCGTGCGCAGGGATTCCCACCTCCATAGGGAGGGGGCCTCTGGCTTTTAGCCTGCTGGGGACCTCTAGGGATCAAAGCAACCAGCAGGGGACGCACAAGACACAGGCTCAGCACAGGAACCGTGCGGTGTTAGCTGCACCGCTGTCCATATTTAGACATTTACAGTTCTTTATAAACACTACATGCTTAAAGACATTACTTCATTTCCTGTTTTTCAGCAGCCAAAAGATCAGAGCCAAACCTCATCATAATCCAGATTGCCAAACTCTCCCCTTTGTTTTTAAACCAAGGCCCAAGTGGGAGATTTGCCCAGCTTCATCTGTGCCTAGAAGTTTCTGGAGGCCTTTCTACCTCTGATGTTCCTTTCCCTTCTCAACAGCCGCTGCTTTAAGCCAATCACATTCCAGACAACAGCAACAAAACCCTTCAGAGGCCTCTTAGATGCTGCAGCTTTCGGTTTCCTAGGTGACCATGTCGTCACCAGTTTGCAGTCTCAAAGCCAACTCATCATAGCAACCCATTTTTTTTTTTTTTTCATAAAAACCTACCAGTGTTTTCTAAATGTAAAAATCAGGCCCAAAACAGACTCTTAAAAGCAGTTACTGTCCTCTTTATCTAAACCCTTCGGCAAAGTCTCAGCACAATGTTTTGGGTCTAGAATAAGAAATCACAGCTATTTTACACAAATGAGCTCTGTAGTAGCTAGACTGCTCCTTGGCATCCAGCACTAAATATATGCTCATCAGAAGGGCCGGAGACATGGCTCAGTGGTTACGATCATAAACTGCTCTGACAGGGGTCCTACCTTTGGTCCCAGCACCTACTCCAGGTGTTCAAAGGAATCTCCAGCTCCAGGGGACCTAGCGCCTGACCTCCACGAGCACCTGCCTCATATGTATATACTCCACACTGGCACACACAGACACAGAAATTAAAATTTTAAAACATTTAATGTTCAGAGTCCAAAACATGACAGACTCCATCTTCATATAGCTGTGAAAAGGAACCCCCACCTCCAACCCACCATGGTGGATCACTGACAATTCCCATCAAGTCTCCAGATATCCACACCCCACACAATGGCTCTGGTCTTAGTCACATGATTTCTTTGGCCACTGGCACACCAACAAATGGGAGAAAAGTGAGGAGAGTGTGACAAGCACCTCTGCAACTCTGCCCTGTAGAGCTGGTCCAGCCCCCTGAGAGAATGAGCATCACCCAGCTAAGGAGCAAGGCTACCCTACCCTCAACCACTCAGGTCCAAGAACACTGTGTGGTGGAACTTTGCTGAGCCAGGCCCAGCCCAAACTCTACAAGCCACCCTTGTCTGAAAGGCTGGCTACCACCAGGGTTCCACACTGCCACAAAGAGCAGAGAGAAGAAAGAACAAGTCAGAGCCGTCATGGGAGTGGCCATAGGTGTGGGGGATGTAAGGGGGGTGTTGTTGATCATTAAAAGTGCCGTAACAAGTAACTAAATTAAGCCCAAGCCTGTGAAATCTCAGAAATTATGCTTTTTAAAAAACTTGACTTCTAGCCAGATGTGGTGGCGCATGCCTTTAGTCCCAGCACTCAAAGGCTCGGAGGTCCTCAAAGAAGGCTATCATGGAGCACGGTGGCCATTCCTTTAATCCTAGCTCTGGGGAGGCAGAGGCAGGAGGACCACTTCAAGTTCAAGGTTAGCCTTATCTACTGAGTTCCAGGGCAGCCTGGGCTACACAGCAAGATCTTATCTCAAAAAAGCACACAGGAAAACAGGAAGCTGGACTCCGCCACTCATATTCCCACAAGACTGGAGCATCTGCACAGCAGGCACTTGTGGCCATCTGCCAACCCTGACACTACAACTGATGCTGGCCCATTCCCCTCACCTGATTTCTAATCCCTGATGTCCAGTCAGTCTTCTTTCTCACACCACATGGACCTTATGTGGGTCTTAGACAGGAGGAACATGGTGCTGGGGCAGAAATCACTGGTAATAATAAAAATGTCCAGTCTACTCCGTGGCACAAATGAACCAGCTGGGGTCTGGGTGACAGATCTATCTCAGGTGAGATGGATCAACAGGACTCCATCGACCTGAACTGTAAACAAAGCAGGAAGGAGCTTTAAAAAGGTGAAGTGTGCAGAGCCACACGAGGAATCGACTTATAGACTTATACTCGGAACCACAAGCACTCAGAACAGTACTGAGTGAGACATGGCAGAAAAACCCAAAGCTCCGTTCCCACCTGCCTGTGGGGTTCCCCCATCCATGTCCCTGGTTAGACCATTGCAAAGACTTCAGGTGAGCACAGAATCTGAAAGGCACTTGGTCAAGATGCCTACAGGCTACCAGAAGCTACCTAAGCACACCAGCAAGTTTCTAACTCTGAACCACTCCCTCGGGGCCATCCTACAACAGTAACTTCTGCGGCCTGTAATCAGGGTGTGAGGATGAATTGTTGTCTCCAGCTCAGAGACCAAAGCTAGGCATGGTGACTCACATCTGTGATCAGAGCATTCAGGATACCGGGCAGGCGGATCACTAAGAGTAAAAGGCCAGCCTGGGCATACAGCATGAGACTGCCTCAACACCCCTCCACTCCCATCCCCTCGCCCGGGGAGAGACAGCCAAGCATGGTTGCTCATGGATCCCCTCCACCAACAAAGGCAGGCAAGCATGGTTGCTCATGCCTGCAATTCCAGCAACCAGAAGGCTTAAGCAGAAGAAAGATACCAAAAGTTTAAGGCCACCCTGGTCCACATAGTGAATTCCAGCCTGTGCTACAAAATGAGACCCTAAAACAGAAACAGGGATGGGGGGGGGGGATGGCTCAGTGGGTAAAATTACTTGCTGCACAAGAACTAGGATCTAAGTTTGAACCCCCAGCACCCACTTAAAATTTGTGTGTGGCCAGGCAGTGGTAACACACACCTTTAATCCCAGCACTCGGGAGGCAGAGGCAGGCAGATCTCTGTGAGTTGGAGGCCAGCCTGGGCTACAGAGCGAGTTCCAGGGCAGGCTCCAAACCTACACAGAGAAACCCTGTCTCGAAAAACCAGAAAACTATGTATAGCTATACAGGCACCTACACCTTTGTAGGGGGCAGAGCCTGGAAGATCCCTGGCACTTGATGGTTCAGTGAGAGACCCAATCTTATAAGGAATAAGGCAGGGAGGAACACCTGGCAGCCTCTCCTGGCCTCCATGCAACACAAACACACACTTCAAAACAATTTACAGCAGACAAACCCTAACTCTGAGCACACGCCACTAGGCCAATCGCTAAAATAAATAACAGCAGAAAATCCACCTGTAGCTGGGTGTGGCATAATACGCCTTTGATCCCAGCACTCCGGAGGAGGCAGGTGGATCTCTGTGAGTTCGAGGCCAGCCTTGTCTACAGAGCAAGTTCCAGGACAGGCTCCAAAGTCACACAGAGAAACCCTGTCTCAAAAAAAAAAAAAAAAAAAAAAAAAAATTTAAGGTGAAGTTTAAGGCCGGCCTGGGCATGAGAGCTTGTCCAAATAAATAAAAAGATTGAAAACAACAACAAAACCAATATTAAGTATTGTTGCTTTTAGGGGAAAAAACCGCAAAGCACTCTGCATGCACGATCTCATTCCACCCTCTCAGGGAAGTGCCTACAGCACTCACCTACACGACTCCCACTGAGTCCATAGTAGAGGCAACTACCACACTGAGGTCTTGTCCGAATTCTAACGCCAGTGTGCTGGGATGACAGACAATACATGGGATGGTTTCCCAGGAACCTGCCGCCCACAGCACTCGGTTTTAGTCTGCCCATCAGAGGTGACACATCCCATAACACAGGTATTTGTATTAACTTAGTGAGTCAGTGAAACACCCCAAACAGAGACCAAATGACCCCCAGCCCCACAAGATGCAGATGAGATATTCTGTAGAGCAACTTAAAAAAAATCACAGAATTTTAGAGCTAGGGGGAATCTTAAGGTTTATAATGTCAACTGCCCTCATTTTTCTGAGGTAAAAGTAAGCCTCTAGTAATTTGGTCAACATCTCCCCAGGCACTGGGGACAGCAATAACTCGCTACTGGTTTGCATCCAGACTCCTTTGACTATCCCAGGCACTGCCTGCACCCTGCATCCCCAAGTCTCCCTGTCATGTTCATTTCAACACCTGGACCCCCAGGTTGGCTGCTCTGTTTAGCCTGCCGGCCCTCTGTCATTCCCCCAGAAGCATGCCTTCAGGGAAGCTAGGATGGACGGACAGACACACATAGCCAGCCAGCACAGACTGGCTGTCACACTTTAACTGCCGGCAGTAACCTTAGCAGAACTGATAAGGAGGGCTGAAGGAGAAGAGGTGTGGCCACTTTTCCAGGCAGACGGCTCCAGGCTGTGGGGAAAGGAAAGGTTCACAGAAAGCCCCTGTCAACTTCAGCGGTGCTGTGCTGCCTCAGCCTAGGCAGCCCCCTCTGAGTCTGTGCCCTGACACGTGAAAAGGGCAGTGTGCACCTCCTAGGTAGTTAGAGCCATTCCACGGGACAACACCAGAGCAACCTACGGAGCGTGCTTTGAAGGACCCCTAGATTTAATCCACTAGAATCCAGCCCTGTCAGTGACTGTCAGCCATGCGTGGCTGGTGTCCGAAGACTCTACCACAGGGTGCTGTGGTGCCCACCGGAAACCAGTTCCCTCTCCCGAGTCCAGGCTTCCTTCACTGTTGATCTCTAATCCACACTGTCTACAGTGTGCCATGCCTTAAAGTGCTCACCTGTCTGGACACTGACACCTCCTGCTGGCAGCTTCGGCCCCTCCAGTCACACAGGACTGTGCTGACACATCCACATGTGTCTCCAGCACCTTTCCTTTTCCTTCAAGACCCCCCCCCCCCAGCTGGCCTCTAAGAATCAAGCCCACACCCCCTGTTGGAAGCATGTCTCCTAGAGGAAAGCAGACACAGTCACCTTGGTGAGGCACTAAGGTGACTATGACCTACGAGCAAACAGATAAAATCTCGCCTAAGAAGTTCCCATGTCAGTGTCCTAGGCCCTGAGCCCTGGGCTTTCAGAAGCTTAGTGAAACCCTAGAGGGCTTTTGAACCACACCACCTGGGTCTGTCTTGCTTCCTACAAACAAGTCTCTCTACTACAGCTAAAGTGACCATTGGAAAAATATGTCAGTCAGGACTGGGGAGATGGCTCCATTAGCAAATCATCTGACCTGTAAACATAAGGCCTGAGTTTGATCCTCACAACAACTTTTTTTTAAAGTGTCTCATGTGTTGGTGTACACTAGTGATCCCATTGGTGGAATGGTGAGACACGCAGGTCCTTGGAGCTCCCCAGCCAGCCAGTCTAGCCTAAGTGATAAATCCTAGGCCAGTGAGAGACCCTGCCTCAAAAAAAAAAAAAAAAAGACACAGGAGGCAGCACCTGAGGAATGACACCCAAGATTGTCATTTGGCCTCCACATGCACACAGACGTATGTGCTGTCCCCTACCCTCCAGCTTGCTATAAACACACACAAAACGAAACAAACAAACAAACAAAAACATATGCTGGGTGGTGGTGGTGCACACCTTTAATCCCAGCACTCGAGAGGCAGAGGCAGGCGGATCTCTGTGAGTTCAAGGCCAGCCTGGTCTACAGAGCGAGATCCAGGACAGGCTCCAAAGCTACACAGAGAAACCCTGTCTGGAAAAACCAAACAAACAAACAAACAAAAAACAACAACAACAAAAACATACAAGCTACTTTACTCCTCCTCCCTAAGCCCTTCCCTGGCCTCCTGTTCCCCTAAACCAGCCAGGCCTCTGCTCAGCACTGGAAGCTCAGCGCCAGGTTCTGGCTCAGGCCCTCTTGCTATGGCATCATGGTCTCAACTAAGAACGCTTCCCTCACTGCCTTCATCCTAACTTCTCTCCCTCCACAGCTGGTTCCCTAAGTCACCGCAGAAGCAGTCACTGAAGACAGCCCAAGGGGATGAGGCTGCGGCCTCCTCCTTTCTCTTTATCATCCCTACAAGGACAGCTCCCAGGACGAAGCTCTGCCACCCACACCTCATGGTTCTAACATCTGGTGTGCTGGGCCTACCTCGCTGACTTCTCATCTGCCTGTCACTCTGCCTGAGATGACCCTCAACAACGTCTCAGCCTTTGAGAGTCTGCTTCTCTTTTACTTCTCACATCCCTTCTCTTCACCATAACCTGTTCTCAAGAATCCCACCCCAGCTGCCTTTAAGGTCATTGCACACAAGTACCACACAACTTGGCTAACCACTCCCACCTCCCAACCTTACCAGCTGGGGCTGTGCCCTCTGCCTCCAGCACCAAGCGTCCTGGATCACATAGGGCACCCACTCCGTCTTTACCCATGCCTGACCCTTGTCTTTCACAATCAGCAGATGAAGTACATTCTTTTTTGTAAGCAGTGCTTCGGGGCACCAGAACTGTTGATCAATGACGATAGCCTGAGGAAATGATAATCTCTGTTCTAGAGATTTCCAAGACTGAAAAGGATAACATGTGTAACATTTGGCTCCAAACCTCCACCTCGGGAAGACAGCCACAGACTTCCATTTCCTATATAAGCAGCCCCTAAATGAAGATCCAGAAAGACAGCTCTTTAGGCTACCATCTTCCTAGCAACTAGGCCACCGTAATCAAGCCTTGCTCTCTTGGACTGGTTTTGGTGGGCTGTGTGTGGTAACAGAAACTACCACACATTGAGGACACAACCTAAAAGAGCCTTTGTCTGCCAACTCCTTCACTCCCAGCGATGCCTCTCTACAATATGAGTCTCACGAGTAAAAACGCGGTCCCACACTGGCTTCCGCTGTACGGTGAGCACAAACCCATATGCAGAGCCCCACATCCCATCTCCTCTTCGGTTATAGTACGTAGCCCTCCGCTGACCTGTCGCATGTTTCTACTTTTATTCCTATTAACAAATCACAAACCTCAAGAACACTCTAGTAGAAGCTGCACGGCTCCGTGAACCTCAAGTCAGAAAGCAGGAGGCAGGAGATCCCAGGAAGGAAGGACGGTGGGGAGAGGTGGCTCTGAAGGCCTCCACCCAAGAAAGGTTGGAGTCCACCGGCTGGGGAGACCCGAGGTTTAGGAGCGGGACCAGAGGGGATTCTGTTGGGCTTCTGGAGCACAAGGTGACAGGGTCTCAGGCCTTGAAGACGCAGAGGTCCTCTGTGTACTGAGTCTGGGGGAAAACTGGAGGGTTTGGGGGGCTTCCCAGGACTGAAAGGTGGTCCAGTCCACAGGTGGCCGCGGACCCGGGCAATCCCAGGGGATGCCGGAGGTAGGGGTCCCCAGGACATGAGGGACCTGGGGTCCCGGGCACTCAGGGCGGGTCCTGTGGGCTGGGGAAACACGCGGTGCTGCTATCCGGCCCCGACCCGCCGCCTCACCTGCCGCGCAGCGGAGTCGCCACTGTCGCTCGCGCTCGCGCTCTCGCCTCCTCCCACCCGGGCCGCGCCCCTCGGGCTGGGTGGAGCCGCCGGGCGGTGCGCCGGATGGCGCTGCGCGCGCACCACGCGGAGCCTGCCGAGCCGAACCCGCAGCGCTCCCTCAATGCCTTCCCCCGCGCGCGCGCACTCCCCGCGCGAACGTTCCGCCCTGAAATCAACGGCCCCGCGGCAACGGGAAGCCCCGCCCCGGAGGGGGCGGGGCCGTGGCGCGCCCCGCCCTCAGAGGGGCTGCGACCGGGCGGACTGCGCAGTCGCGCAGGGGTAGGGAGGGGAGCGAGGTCTTAGAGAGGGAAGAGCTCACGGCAGCTTTGCGTCCTCAGTTTCCCCATCTGCGCGCCTGGACGGCCCTGCGAAGACGCGAAGGTCGTCGAGCTCGATCGGAACCACCCCTCGGCAGCCGCGTCTAGCCCGGCACTCGGGCGCGCTCCTTCAAGCTCAAGCCACAGGCTACACCGCCTGTGCCGCTACCTGGCCCAGCTTGCTTTCCCACATTGACCATCTCTCCCATCTCCTGCCAGACCCGGCACCTGGCACCTGGCCCTCCCGGTGTGCCCCGGGGCCCCTCTTGGACACGTCTGTGCCCAGGTTCCGCGCCTGTCAATCAGGGTGAACTCAGTACCCGCCCTGGACTGTGGGGGGCGGCACACGTGGGTGGGCTCTGCGCGGGAGCACTCAGCCTGAAGAACCTAAAGTCCTGGTTACACCTCCCCTTTCTCTAAATGAGGCTGGGTCGGAACAAAACCCACTTCCTCCTCTCCACCTTCCCGGGTCCGCCCTACCCAGGCAAGTTTTTAGGACTTCCTCTCTCTCTGCCTCCTTTTTTCTACCTAGTTTTGCTGTTAGCATCCCTGTAGCCCATAAGGAAACTGCATTTGTGACAGACGCTGGTCTTAACGACTTTCGGCATGAAATTTGTGGAGTCAGCCCATGTGGTTTCCCATGCAGTACCCGGCACCTACCTGAGTCTGAATATTCCTTTAGTCCTCAGAACAACCCCGTTGACGGCACCACATTTTACTGCAATTAACAGCAAAAGAGGCGGAGGCCCAGGGAGGTTGTATTGGCAATACCAGCCATGCACTGACTCCCAATGTCCAGGCTTTCCTCCCCTAGACTGTACAGTTTAAGTGTGATGCAATTTAGTTGACAAGCTCCTGCCCCAGGCCAGGTCCTGAGACCTACACTTGTGACACTGAAGGAGCTCCTGTGTCCCAGGGAGGAACTTGTTCAAGGAGACTGTGGACTAGAAGCTTTTGGACCCACAGTATGCAGAGAGAGACTGAATGTCCTCCAAGGTCCAGGGCAGTAGAGCCCAGGTAAACTCAACTCTCCATCCAAGTACAGCCCCTTGGGGGACACAGACTGAAAGTCTCAGCCCAGAAGCTTCACAAGGACAAGACCCACAGAAGGGACACATTTGGTACAATGGTCCCCTTCTTCCCCCTATCCAAGAGAGACAGCTGAGCACCTACTCCCCCAGCCAGGCAGTACTAGGATCACCCTGATTTACAGAGAGCAATCCCAGAAAGCTGCTTTAACCCCGGGCCACTGTGTTTATTCTGAGTGATAATGTGGCTCTTACCAGGGGCCAGTGTGGTATGTGCCAATGTGTTGCTGGTATGCATCATTCAGGTGTGTTGGACAAATACATGAATAGGTGTATGCACAAAATGGGTCTCATGGCCTGAGTTCAACAGAACAGACTGATTTCTTTGTTATACCAAAGGTGGCCTTTGGAGCATGCAGCAGGGACTACCCCAGGACCGGGAAATGTCAGCGTGTTTGAAAGGCATGTGCTTGCAAGCCTGTGAGAGGACAGTAATGGTTACTAAGTGCACACTGTGTGCTAAGCTCTTCTAACGTCCCATCTTCACTCTCACAGCAACTCTTTGCCGTAAGGATAGTTAGTCTGTTTTTACAGATTCAAACACCAGAGTCAGGACCGGGAAGATGGCTCCGTGTGGGTAAAGCATTTGCCATGCGAGCGTGAGGACCTGAGTCTGAATCTGCAGAACCCATGTAAAAATCAGGCGTGATTGCACACCGTATAGTGAGACAACAGGCAAAGACATGAGAACTTCCAGAAGCTCACAGGCCAGCTAGCCTGGCACAGGAAGCTGTAAACAACATAAAAAGGACCCCATCGCAAGGTCACGACCCACACAGAAGTTTGTCCTCTGATCTCCATACTCATGCCATGAACATACACATGCCCATGCTCATACATATGAATGAATACGCTCATGCACATGCGCACGCGCACGCGCACACAAGGACTCAAAGTAACTAGTAAAAATGCTTGGGTTTGGCTGCTCTCTGGTCTGCTGCAGATCTCTTTGTGCAGCCAGAAAGGAGGCAGCTGTTGAATTCAGTGAGACATGACAGGGTGAACAGGAAGGACACAAGGTGCCGCACATGACAGTGCCCCCACTCCCACCCCCACCCCCAGATGAAGCTGTTGCTTTATTGTAGCATTGGACGGCCTCTATCACTTAGGCCCTACATCAGTGAACAGGCCAGGTAGACACAGATCCTGGGCCCTAGTACCACCTTCTATTTAAATACCAAGCACTGTAGCCACGCACAGGTCTGTGTCACCACGAATGCAAGCTGTAAACACTAAAGACAAAGGAAGCAATAGAGGGCTTTGAACCCTCCCCCTCTCTCCCACATACACCCAAGTCAGATTCCTACAGAAGTCGTCCAGCTTTCCCCTGACTCTGGGCAGGAAGGACTGTGTGGCTGCTGCAAGATGGCTTTGCTGGTAGGAGAGAACGTAGCATCCAGGCAGAACCTCTCTGGCCCACTTTCACACCTGTTGGCTGTGCCTGCCTCACCCCATGTCTCACCTCTACTCCACCTAGGCCCTAGATTCTTAGGGCCTCCTTTCTGCTGGCCTGAAAGTTTGCAACGGGCTGCTCTGAGGCCCTCCTCTCCTGGGTCTCCTGCACCCCCAGCAGCCATGAAATGGTTGGGGACAGCTGGGCACTGATTAAATACTCACGTGCCCACTGTGCTAGGACACAACAGGAAAACCGTTCTTGCCCTTGTGGAGCTGGTTAGCCAGGGAAAATGACTACCAACATGGGTGGTGGGGCCAATAAGACCCTGAAGAAAGAATAAGTCATGTAAGGGAAAGACTTAGACTACAAGAAACTTGAAAATGTACATCTGACCTGTAAATGGAGGCAGAATTTTTCTGTCCAGACTGCCTGGTCCCAAATAAACACACAAAAGCTTATATTAATTACAAAATTCTTGGCCAATAGCTCAGGCTTATTATTAACTAGCTCTTACTTTTAAAATTAACCCAATTTCTATTCATCTATGTATTGCCATGTGGCCCGTGGCCTTACCAGTCCTCTGGCATCCTGCTTCTTGGTTGGCTCACTGGCATCTCTCCCAACTCCGCCCTTCTTCATCCCAGTCCTTAATTGGATTATCCCGCCTAACTTTGTCCTGCCTTGCTATAGACCAAACAGCTTTTTTGTTGTTGTTGTTTTTTGAGACAGAGTTGCTCTGTGTAGTTTTGGTGCCTGCCCTGGATCTCTCTCTGTAGCCCAGGCTGGCCTCAAACTCAGAGATCCACCTGGCTCTGCCTCTCGAGTACTGGGATTAAAGGTGTGAGCCACCACTGCCCGGCTAAACAGCATTATTATAAACCAATGAGAGTAATACATATTCACAGCATACAGAAGGATCATCCCACAGCACTGATCAAGGACCTGATCTAAAATATATAAAGATCTCACCGCAGTTCAGTAACAAGGCATAACCAAGTCCAATTTTTAAAAATCTGGCAGAGTACATGTGTAAAACCAAATCAAAACAGAGAAGGCTGATGCTTACCTAACATATGCAAAGCCCAGGAGCAACTCCCAGCAATGAAAGATTTAAAAAACTTAATTGAGCAAATATTTAAACACATGCTTCTCCAAAGAAGATTTGTGGATGGCAGATGAGCACCTGGAAAAGTGCTCAGTATAATTACTCATGAGGGAAATGCAAATCAAAACCACTCAGAGGTACGGCTACACATTAGAATGTTCAAAATTAAAAAGACTGGCCAGGCATCGGTGGCACACACCTTTAATCCCAGCACTTGGGAGGCAGAGCCAGGCAGATCTCTGTGAGTTTGAGGCCAGCCTGGGCTACAGAGCAAGACCCAGGACAGGCACCAAAACTACACAGAGAAACCCTGTCTCAAAAAACAAACAAACAAACAAACAAATAAGTGAAAGACTGATGAAGGCAGTCCATCCTCAGAGGTATGGACTGGAATCTGCTCCCACTTCTGGAGGGAATGGGAAGTGCCTCAGCCACCGTACACCCACCACGAGGCTAAGGGGGAAATAGTCAAGTGCTGGTGAGGATGTGGAGAAATGGGGTGGCTCAGTTCTGTTAGCTTCCTTTGCTTCTCATCAAGTAAGGAGTACCAGAAATAGATCTCTTGGGAAGAGAAGGTGTTTGGCTGGCCATGGTGGCACACCCTTTTAACTCCAGCACCCAGGAAGCAGAGCCAGGTATATCTCTGTGAGTGAACAAAGCAAATCCCAGGCCAACCAGGGAAACACAGTGAGACCTTATCTCAAACAAAGGCAAGGGTGCGGGATTTGGGTGCGTGTGCTGGGAAGATGGCTCAGTGCTGGAGCACTGACTGCTCTTCTGGAGAACCTGGGCTGCATTCCCAGCGCTCACCATCGTCCCTTTCCAGGGGACCCATCACTCTTTTCTCCAAGCACACACATGTAACACGAATCTTAAAAGGTCTTATAATAAAAAAAACCCAGAACCAGATATTGGGGTGAAAGCTGAAAGATCAGAGAAACAGAGCAACCCACAGCCAATCTCACCTCACCAACTCCTCGGCCGCTCCTGCTCCCGTGAATCTTCAG